TGGAGGTACTGTAACATGGAGGCTATAGGAACTATATAGAAAATGTAATGCCACCGTCAGAAACTATAAATATTGACCTTAAAACAATTCCGTACAAAATGTGGCTAAAATACGAATACGGTACATCCAGAGTTGTCGTTATATGATGACTATAAAAAACGTGCACCACCGACATGACCCATAACGTGATTACTATAGGGTGAGATGAAAAAACTGCAACCAACTTCAGACTGCTGTCATTTCTAAGCCACTCGTTCGACAGCTGTTAAAATTATTCCAGTGACAGCTCATTATATTGTTTATACGCGTACAAAAGTATTATGGTGAGAATATTCCAGAAAAAATTTTATTCGTGATGGAATTCAAGCGTGATAGTGTGATTTCTTTATATTTGGGTGGAAAACCACAAGTGGCTATCGTTAGAGCACTCCAGCATTTAAATGTGAATAAACCTAATGTGTCTCGTTCTATCGCTCGTAGCCCGACGTCAAGGAAGTGGACGGAAGAAAACCATAACATCAGCAGAAATGGTTCGAAAAGTAAAGAAGCGACTTGATCGAAACCCACGTCGCAGTGACCGAAAAATTACTCGTGAGCTGTACAGAACATATCACAATATTCCATTCGACAAATATTGAAAAATGAGCTCGGGGTAAAGCCATTGCGATTCCACAAAGTGCAAGAACTTTCACCGCAACAGAAAGAAAGTAGACTCAAAAGAGCTAAAGAGTTGCTTCGCTTGCCGAAAATGGTGAACTGCCGAATTAGGTTTTATCCGATGAGAAAACATTCTTTGCCCACCAGTTTGTAAACAAACAAAATGATCGTGTTTACTTGCCAAAGAGATAAGCTGAAAATGTGCACCTTCGGTTGGCCACCAGAACTCAAGCGCTGGCCATGGTGATATGGTGTGGGCCGCTATAACAGCCGATGGTCGCTCTCCGCTCGTATTAAAAAATCCAAAGTGTCGATCACTTCAAGCAAGCTCTTCGCCGGGAATGGGCCAAAAGGGGCCGCAGAGCAACATTCGGGCAGCGTGTGACGGTCTCATTGGCCATTTGAAGGCCATAATTCGTGACAAAGGTGACCAATTCGAACAAATCTAGACTCATTCTAAAATTTGATGCTATTTCCGACATTTTTTGCTTTTATTCAATAAAATTAAAAAAATGTAAAAATTATGGCTTTTGACTTTGTTGCAATTTTTTTATCTCACCCTGTATATGGCCTATACAATTGCAACCAGTGCACTTCTAATAACATCTCTATTTTAAGAATATATTTTCGAATTTTGCTTAAAATGGAAATGACACCAACCAGAGAAACAACAAAAATAATAATTAAAAACAATATCTCTCACACACACACACACCAAAACAGAAACCACCTAAGATATGACTAATTTTGCAATCTTAGTATTTTCCATTTTTTGTTTTCGCTTGGAAGAGGTATAAAACGATAAGACTGCATTTACTGATACCTACCTGTTGTTGTGCCACTTAAAGCCTGTTAACACTTATTGATGGCTAGTGATGTCATAATATTCCGTTTTTAAACACAATATGTGCATATAAACACTACAATTTCATATCTATAAAAGTTATTAACTGTGACGTTATTGCAATCTGCGTTGGTACTATTATTTGTAGAATCAATAAGCGACTTAGCTTACATAGAAAGTTCTACTTACTGTTTGGTTCAAAGATCTCTCGTTTAATTCCAGTTACGATTATACTTTGTACCTTTTTCTAACAACCGATTGTTTGTGGTTAATCACGAGTTAGAAAATGCCATTCGTATTAAAAATATGTAATACTTCGTCAGCGAAAAGTCCACTCTTAAAATTTTAGGTCGTGTTAGGCCTTTTTAGTACTCGAATGCACAATTTTTTCATTTTGACAAAATTTTTATACCCTCAGCCTCAGAGGGTATATATCATTTGATACGGCCAAAACATGCCTCATCGAAATAACGATTTTTGACCCTAGGTATTTTTGGACCAAATCCTTTTCAGGACATTTGGAGTCGATTTAGCGATGTTCTTCCGTCCGTCTGTCTGCCTGGTGCGTATGATAATTCTCGAAGGGAGAATCCGATTTCGTCCAAACTTGGTCCATTGTAATATTATTGTCCTTGTCTCCTTCTGGTACCTCCCCCCACAAAATGTAGACATTTTCAAAAACAAGTTAAAGAGTATTTGTCGGTTTTGCCGATAGATGTATACCCTCAGCCAATGTACGATTACTTAAAAATATTTTGACTTCTGTTATGATTATTCAAATGTTTAACCCCTTATGGAGTAGGTTCCGAAAGAAATGACCAATATTATCGGATCTAAATAAATATGATATAAATATTGCGACACGCCAGGTTTGGACTATATTAGTAACTTCCTTCAATCTACATGACATACATGATCATTTTTAGAAAATGTTAACGTGCGTGAGCTACCAGATATAGTCCATTGAAGCATTCCATTTTCATGCTTCATCTAATACATTTAAAAATAATGGTATGAGCAATATTACAATAAAATCGAACATTTATATCCAATTTATTGAAAATCATAAATTCCATATTCCTCTCAGGTTTCTGGCAAAGAGAGATTTATTCAGATAAAGAAAGTTGTAAAGTATCGCTGACTTGTTTCGCAAGTTATGACAGATAAAAATATTGAAAATTATGACCCTTTGTGAATAAGGTACCACGTATGAGGAGCTCAGAGATATATATCATCTGCACAACAGGTATTGAATTAGCAAAAATGTTTGTATTTGTGAAATTTGAGAATAGTTGGATGCTTATTTCGCTTTCTTTGAGCCTTTGTGGGGAGGTACCAGAAGGAGTGGACCGATATTACCCATCTTCACAACAGATCTTGTGTTAGTGAAAATAATGGGATGTGTGAAATATAAAGAAAACCTGATGCTTATTTCGGATTTTATAAACGTTTTGGTTATTCACAAATTTGACCCTTTGTGGGGGAGATACCAGAAGGACTTGATGGAGTGGACCGATATTATTCATCTTTGCACCTGAACTAGAACTGACGCAAATATTAGGAATTGCAAAGTTGGAGCAAAATCGGATTATTGCTTCTCTTTCTGTGGAGAAATTTTGACTCTTTGTGGGAAAGGTACTTGATAGACTGGACCGATATTGTCCATTTTCGCACCTGATGTAGCACTGATAGTAATATTAGGATTTGCAAAGTTGAAGCAAAATCGGACTACCGCTTCTCTTTCGGTGCAAAAAATATTTTTTGAAAATTTCGACCTTTTGTGGGAGAGGTACCAGAAGGAACTTACCGATATACTCCACCCTAACACCAGACCTTGGGTTGATAAAAATATTGTGGTGTGTGAAATTTCAAGACAATTATTTTTTGTGGTGGAGGTACTTGATGGAGTGGACCGACATTGTCCATTTTCGCATCTGACGTAGTACTGACGCAAATATTAGGATTTGCAAAGTTGGAGTAAAATCGGATTATCTTTTGTCTTTCTGTGTAGAAAATATATATTTTTAGGAAATTTCGACATTTTGTGTGGGAGGTACCAGAGGGAGTGGACAGATAAATTTTATTTTCACACCAGACCTTGGGTAAAAAACATATTGAGATGTGTACAATTTGAAGACAATCGGACTTTTACATCACATTTTATAAGAGTTGTAATTATTCAAAATTTTGACCCTTTGTGGCGGAGGAATGTTCAAGGTTTGCATGCACAAGGCTTTAATAAACCCTCCAGAATATTTTCGCGATAATATTCGGCAATTATTCTGATCATCGGCTGTTATGGCGGCCCACGCCATCACCATGACCGGCGCTTGAGTTCTCGTGGCCAACCGAAGGCGCACATTTTCAGCTTTGGCAAGTAAACACGACAAACAAAATTGTTTACAAACTGCTGGACAACGAGTGTTTTCTCATCTGAGAAAACCAAATTCGGCAGTTCACCACTTTCGGCCAAGCGAAGCAACTCTTTAGCTCTTTTGAGTCTAATTTTTTTCTGTTGCGGTGTAAGTTATTGCACTTTTTGGAATTTAAATGGCTTTACCCCGAGCTCGTTTGTCATTATTAGCGGAAGGGAATAATGCGATATGTTCAGCTCACGAACCATTTTTCGCCACTGCGACGCGGGTTTCGATCAAGTCGCTTCTTTACTTTTCGAACCATTTCTGCGGATGTTGCTGTTTTCTTCCATCCGCTTCCTTGACTTCGGGCTACGCTACCAGTATCACGGTAACGAGCGAAGGTACGAGACACAAAAGATTTATTCACATTTAAATGCTGGAGTGCTCTAATGATAGTCACTTGTGGTTTTCCAGCCAAATATAAAGAAATCACACTATCACGCTTGAATTCCATCACGAATAACTTTTTTTTCTGGAAAATTCTCACTCATATGCTTTTGTACGCTTGTAAAGAATATAATGAGCTGTCACTGGAATAATTTTAACAGCTGTCGGACGAGTGGCTTAGAAATTAAAGCAGTCTGAAGTTGGTTGCAGTTTTTCATCTCACCCTGTATGTATAGATACAGAAGATATCCGCCATTCATGTTTCATGAAGGTCTCACAGAAATTTGAAATATATTAGATATATTCACAAGAATATTGAATGTTCGAACTTGACTATATTACTATGATTGAGTAATCCCGTCAAGAGAGGCACATTCAGGTTGGACCTGGACTTGCCTTTCCGGTGGGCTAATCCTTTTCACGCCAGAACGTAAAATTACAAATATAGTGGATTCCATTAAGGAGTTGTTTTGTCAAAAATTAAAAAATAAATCAAGGATATGATCCTCGTGAAATTGTGACCAACTCAAATTTTTGATCAGTTTTGTATTTCTGAATAAAGATATTAAAATTATATTTATTTGTCCACCTAAAAACAACATCGATATCATCAGTTCATGTAAAATATATATATTTTTATTTCCCACTTCAACTTTACTAATAGCTTTTATCGTTTTTCATTCTTTTTCCCGTAGGTAAAAATTCCCTCGAACATCGTGCCAATTCGAAATTCGAAAAACCTCTCGACTACATTGAGTACCTGCGAAATGGCGAACACAGTGAACCAAAAATCTATGCCTGCCTGGAAAGTTTACGTGTTGCGCTCACAAATAATCCACTGTCGTGGATTAAGGAATTCGGAGAGGATGGCATCGATGAGATCATCAATTTGATGCGACGCTGTAAAAAGGAACGAACTTTGGATCGCATCGAGCTGGAATGCATACGTTGCCTCAAGGCCATAATGAATAATACATGGGGATTAAATTTGGTCCTAACGCCAGATCAACATACGGTTGTATTACTCCTGGCACAATCGCTTGATCCACGCAAGGTGACCACAATGTGTGAGGCTGTAAAGCTATTGGCCTCATTCTGTTTGGTACCCGAACGCAACGGCTATGACAAGGTTCTGAGGGCCATTACAACGGCAGCCTCAACATCGTACAAATCAAGTGAACGCTTTCGGCCCATTGTCGACTCGCTGTTCATATCGGAAAAATATGATCCACGTCGTGAGTTGGCCTGTCACAGTTTGATTTTCATCAATACCCTCACAAACACCCCCAGCGACTTAAATTTCCGCCTCCATTTGCGCTGTGAAATCATGCGTATGGGTCTGTACGCGAAATTCGACGACTTCAAGAACATGGTGGAGGCGAGCAATAATGACTCGTTGAAACAACATTTTAAGATTTTCAATGAGATACGTGAGGACGACTTCGAGGAGTTTATCCAGCGATTCGACAATGTCATCTATAATATGGATGATGTGACGGACTGCTTTGAGGTTGTGAAGAATTTAGTTACCGATACACCTGCAGAACCCTACTTCCTGTCGATAATGCAGCATTTGCTGTATATCCGCGATGACTTCTACTACCGGCCTGCCTATTATCAATTGATCGAGGAGTGCATATCGCAAATTGTCTTTCACAAAGGCTACTGTGATCCGAATTTCGAAAATCGAAATTTCAATATCGATACCTCATTGCTGTTGGACGATATCGTGGAAAAGACCAAGGCCAAAGAGTCACAACGTGCCGAAGAGTATGAGAAGAAAATCGAGCAATTGGAAAATGCCAAACAGGAGGCTGAAGCCAAGGTGGCGCTGTTGGAGGAGAAAATCAAAGATATGGAGAAGAATGGTATTGCAGCTCCATCGCCAAGTAAACTGCCGAAAGTGAATATTCCCATGCCACCACCGCCGCCAGGAGGAGCAAGAATGCCAGCACCGCCACCACCACCTCCTCCACCGGGTATGGGAGGAGGACCGGGCGGTCCACCACCTCCGCCACCACCAATGCCCGGCATGGGTGGTATACGTGGTCCACCACCGCCACCTATGCCTGGCATGGGTGGTCCTCCTCCACCTCCCATGCCGGGTATGGCCGGAGGTCCGCGACCACCACCAATGATGATGCCCATGGCGCCAGTCTTGCCACATGGCCTTAAACCCAAAAAGAAATGGGAAGTAAAGAATCCCATGAAACGTGCCAATTGGAAAGCCATTGTCCCACAAAAGATGTCGGACAAATCATTTTGGGTCAAGTGTGAGGAGGACAAACTGGCCTCCGATGATTTGCTTGCCGAACTTGCTATTAAATTCTCCTCCAAACCCATCAAAAAGGATCAAAAGGATAGCGTCGATAAGCCAACTACGCTGACCAAGAAGACAATTGATTTGCGTGTTCTGGATGGTAAATCGGCCCAGAATTTGTTGATTCTTTTGGGTGGCTCTCTCAAGCATTTGTCCTATGAACAAATCAAGATATGTCTTTTACGCTGTGATACCGATATTTTGTCTTCCAATATTCTGCAACAATTGATACAATATCTACCGCCTCCAGAGCAATTGAAACGTTTGCAAGAAATCAAGGCCAAGGGAGAACCACTACCGCCCATCGAACAGTTTGCAGCAACAATAGGTGAGGCATTCATTCCACATCAATAACAGCTGAATTCAATGGATTAACTGATCTCTTTATTTTTCAGGTGAAATTAAACGTCTCTCGCCACGTTTGCATAATCTCAACTTTAAGCTAACCTTTAACGACATGGTCCAAGACATCAAGCCGGACATTGTGGCCGGCACCGCGGCCTGTGAAGAGGTGCGCAATAGCCAAAAATTCTCCAAAATTCTAGAACTAATATTGCTCATGGGCAATTACATGAATTCGGGCTCAAAGAATGAATTGGCGTACGGTTTTGAAATTTCCTATCTGACAAAATTGACCAACACCAAGGATACCGAAAATAAACACACACTGCTACACTATTTGGTCGATGTGGTGGAAAAGAAATTCCCCGACGCCCTGACATTCTACGATGATATGTCACATGTGGATAAAGCGTCCCGAGTCAATTTGGATACAATACAAAAATCGATGCGACAAATGAATTCAGCTGTTAAAAATCTAGAAACCGATTTACAAAATAACAAAGTGCCACAATGTGAGGATGATAAGTTTGCGGAAGTAATGAGTAAATTTGCGGCGGATTGTCGACAGCAAGTGGATGTGTTGGGTAAGTGGATTAGTGGTTAAGTTAAACTTTCACTCATAAACTTAAGCTAAGTTGATCAAATAGAGAGAATAGAGACAGGAAAATAGAAAATAGAATATAAAGAAAAATATATAGGAAGGAAATAGAAGGAATGTTGGATGTATATGGGAAATTATAATATTGTAAAATTATTTGTCCCTGTAACTGTCTTCCTGGCGTTAAGTTTTTTGTAGGTCTTTGCAAAGTCTTCCTCTTAGAGAGCCCAAAAACATAAAAATAAGAAGTTGGGATCACTGTTCATGTTTCTGATTTTTGGCGGTGTTTCTTATTTATGAGGAAGGGAATTTTCCTAAGTAATCCGTTAATAGAGCTCTCAATACCACAACAATTTAGTCTATCCTTATTGAAAAGCACATCTCAGAGCAAGTATTCCCATCCCTGATTAGAAAGTCCTATTACAATTAGCGGCAAAATTCATTTTTCTTCTATAATTACAGGAAAAAAATGCAGTAGATTATGAAAGTAGAGTTAAAAAAGAATAAACTTCGTTTTGAAAGTTTACCTCGCAAGGGGCAAGTTCCCTCTCATATACAATTTTTAGATTAAAACTTCTTCAAATTCTTATATTTTATTTTTAATCCCTTTGTCATATATCTAAAAATTGTTTGTCATATGCCTCAGAATAATTCAAAATTCTAAAGAAATTTATAAATATTAAGAATGCCACATTTTAGGGCGAAAGACGTGCTTCATATGAGTTTATGCAAAATATTCCTTCAACGCATAACTTTAGGAGAATGACGTTAAAGACAACAATGAAGGGTGAGATAAAAAAACTGCAACAAAGTCAAACGCCATAATTTTTAAATTTTTTTTACATTATTTTTACATATTTTATTGAATGAAAGCAAAAAATGTCGGAAATAGCATCAAATTTTAGAATAAGTTTAGATTTGTTCTAATTTGTCACCTTTGGAACGAATTGTGGCCTTCAAACGGCCAATGAAACCGTCACACGCTGCTAGAATGTTGCTCTGTGGTATTTTGGTCCAATCCCGGCGAAGCGTTTGGTTGAGGTGATCGACACTTTTTAAAGCCAATCTTGCTATCCAAAATACCCCAGACACAATAGTCCAACGGATTGGTATCCCGAGATTTTGGTGGCCATTGTGCTCTGGAAATAAAGCGAGGAACCTCATTTTGTAATCATTCTTGGGTGGCGCGTGCTGAGTGCGATGGTGCTGAGTCCTGTTGGAATGTCCAAGGTTTGCGGCCAAAATGTTTGCTTGCCCAAGGCTTTAATACACCCTCCACAATATTTTCGCGATATTTATGTGGGCCGGCATTTATTCTGATGCCACGGTAAATTAATACGAGTGGAGAGCACCCATCGCCTGTTATGGCGGCCCACACCATCACCATGGCCGGAGCTTAATTTCTGGTAGCCAACCGAAGGTACACATTTTCATCTGACCTCTTCGGCAAGATCATTTTGTTTGTTTACAAACTGCTGACAACGAATGTTTTCTCATCGGAGAAAACCAAATTCGACAGTTCACCACTTTCGGCCAAGCGAAACAACTCTTGAGCTCTTTTGAGTCTATTTTCTTTCTGTTGCGGTGTAAGTTCTTGCACTTTTGGAATTTCTTTACTTTTCTAACCATTTCTGCTGATGTTGCTGTTTTCTTCCTTCCACTTCCCTGACGCTGACTGGCTACGCTACCAGTATCACGGTAACGAGCGATGGTACGATGGACTCAAAATATTTATTCACATTTAAATTCTGGATCAAACGATAGCCACTTGTGGTTTTCCAGCCAAATATAAAGAAATCACACTATCACGCTTGATTTCCATCACGAATAACGTTTTTTCTGGAAATTCTCACCAAAATGCTGTACGCCTGTAAACAATATAATGAGCTGTCGCTGGAATAATTTTAACAGCTTTCGGACGAGTGGCATAGAAATGACAGCAGTCTGAAGTTAGTTGGTTGCATAGTTTGCTCTGAGACTCATAGTGAAATTTGATCTTGAATAATTCCTCTCTTAAGCCTTTCTGTCTAAAACGAAGTTTTATGTTCCTATCTTGCATCAACCCAAAAACGAAACCGAAGAAAAAACGAATATATTCGCTTTTTTCGAGAAAATAAAAATAGCTTTTAGCTTGATATGATATAAACTTTACTCCAAGTACTTATCGTGTATTTCTTCTTATCAATTTCAGGTAAAATGCAAGTTCAAATGGAGCGGCTCTATAAAGAACTTGGAGAATATTTCGCCTTTGATCCGGCCAAATATACAATGGAAGAATTCTTTGTCGACATCAAAACCTTCAAGGATGCCTTCTTGCAGGCACATCAAGAAATCATACGCCAACGCGAAGAGGAGCAAAAGAAACGACGACTGCAAGAGGCACGCGAACAATCGTTACGCGAGCAAATGGAAAGGCAGCAACGGAAATTGGTCGATATGGATGCAGCTCATGCTCAAGAGGGTGTCATGGACAGTCTATTGGAAGCTTTACAGACAGGTTCGGCATTCGGTAGTCGAAATAATCGCCAACAGCGAAGACAACGGCCGGCTGGAGCCGAACGTAGGGCACAATTAAGTCGATCGAGGTCGCGGACAAGAGTAGCGCCCACCGGTTTAGTGTCACGAGAACTGCTGGCCAACGAAGCATTAATGGGTTCTGCTTAGTTTAACAAATTGTGTTTCCTAGACTCGTGAACTTGTGTTGTATATATGCATATATATAGATTTCTTCTTTCTTTTTTAAGTTTAACTGAAAAAAACAAAACGAAACAAAACAAAACGAAAAGATGCCGCTTGTAGTCAATAAGTCATTACTGTAATGAGATAATACTTTTATTATTTTTATTATTCTTTTAATTTTCTTTTTATATATATAAATAACGACGTGAGATCCTATCTACAAAGACCGACAATTGAGATAACTACTTTTACTTAAACTACTCTAAACTATTGGTAACTATTTAATAAACTTTATTTTTATACATCGAAAAGAGAATGTAAAATGTAAATTAAAATAAAATAAAAACAACTACAAATATAACGGAAATTGGCAGTTTTTATGTGCAAAAATTAAATAAATTCTTATTTTAATTTAAAATTAATCTGACCAAGCCTGATAAAAGATCTGTAATAATCGTTAATGGAATATGTATAATAGTGGCAGTCAAGTGTGGAATAACTGAGCAGGAGGTCATAATGCCGACCATGAGTTGTGTAATTCCGTCTTAGGTACTGACCAGAGAGGGTCAGGGTAATTTGAAGATTGCTTAACCGTTGAAAGCTACACCTTCATCGCGAAGGAAAGGCCATTAATGCTCACTTCAAGAACTATTTACGCCTTCGGTAGTTAGGGTACCAGAATGGATTTTCTGACATATCACAGCCCCAGACCCTCGCTATATGCATGTTTTGTGAGTATATACTCTACGAGCTCACGTCTACACATGTAGTTGACGATCTAACCTTTCAAACTTATGTGGTGTGCTCAATATTCTTAAACATGATTGGCGTGATTGACTGCATTAAAAACTTTTGATAAATCAAGCGACACAATAACAATTCTGTCGCACGGCCTGATGTGGTTGAGTCCTCGGCTTACATGTGCGAAAATGGTGTGTAAAGTTGCAATTTCCGGAATCCGTGTTGATGATCTCTTATGTTTATGGGGAGGACATCGGCATGGATCACAGTAACGGGAGCACCCTGACCATGTTCTAGGCATCGGGAACTATTAGGGTGGCTGACGACAAGCTCAGGAGTGTGGTTAGGTACTTAACTTCTGGTTGTTCCAGTTGCTTCAAAATCACCATAGAGATTCCGTCAGGACCAAGCACTTTGGAGAACGTACACGGTGTGGGATTCTTTACTTAGCCTTGTCACTTCTATGCCGTTAAATGAGACCGATATTCGATTATCCCTTTTTCTAGGGGTTCGAGAGCGACTTAACCGTTGCCCTTAATTAACTCGGTCTGGTACTTTCTCACATTTTCCGCTTATGCTCGCCAACTTACCTGTTTACCTCCAGATTTAGTTCCCTGACTCTGTTAGTACGACGAAACTCATTTCCCTGATTTGTTAGTCCCGCTGCCTCTGCTGGGAAATTAGGTTTTACTTAAGGTATTCGACCAGCAGATATATATCAGGCGCTTGCTGATTTGATGATATCCCGGCAACACCTATCTTCCAACATTAATTGTGGTGGTACCTCCTCGGCTGGGAGTGATCGTGTACGTTGTAGGATCCTTCTCTTAACCCTGTCACTTTTATGCCGTTAAATAAGACAGATGTCCAATCATCCCATTTTCCAGGGTTCGAGAGCGACTTAACCGTTGCCCACAATTTACTTGATCCGGTACAGATTTTACAATGATTTTTAACTTTTTCCGCTCAGGCTCGCCAACTAACCTCTTTACCTCCAAATTTAGTTCCCGTTCCCTTAAATGAGACCGATGTCCGATCATATGTTTTTCCCGGTTTCCAGAGCTACTTAATCCACAATTTACTTGATCCGGTACTGATGTTGCATTACGTCTTCACTTTTTCTGCTCAGGCTCGCCAACTAACCTTGTTACCTCCAGATTTAGTTCCCAAACTCTGGGATTATTAGGGTTATTACGACGAAGTTATCGTTGATTTGTTCGTTCCGCTGCCTCTGCTATTCGACCAGCTGGTACATAGCGAACTGCTGCAGCTTTGATGATGCCCCGAAAATTCCTATCTGCTACTTGAATCATCAGATACGTAAGACAGTTCTCTGAAGCGGCAATTGGTATATTCTCTGAATTCTAGCCAATTGGCTTTCCCATGGTGAAGGAAAGTGCGGCGTTCAGAGTCCATAAAGTCTGGTGGTCTAATGATGGCGACGAAAATGGGAGGTGGTCTGAGTCTAATGAAATGACGCATCCTCATTTACTGTGCAAAATGTGAAGCTATCAATTTTCCTCAGCCAGCGCCTTGCCCTCTGGTCATTACCTAGGACAGAATGTCATAATTTATCTTGGGCATTGAAATCCCCAAGCGGTTATTGCCTACAGGAAGTGAAGTGATGTTTGGCATATAACGCGAAGCACAATTATTTAACGACGGCATGTACACGTTAAGCACCTCTACATCGGCGGTTCCACACTTGACCACCACCCCCATATATTCCATGTATGGGTCACTAGAGTCAAGTTCAGCCGTGATAGGTCTGTACTGGACAGAGTGATTCAATAAAAACCATAATCCTTCACCTTATTTGTAAACCTTCCTCCGTATGTTGTATCCATAACAACTATGAAGCCTGCATGTGTCACTTTGCTACGTCTCCTTTATCACAGCGACCTTGATGGTCTTCCGGTGCTTTGATACGAGGTGATGCTTGTGGGAGACTTTAGAGATTTTTATCGGAATTGTTTCAAATTTCGTATTTAGAGTTCGTAATGGGTACTACAGCCTGTGACAGAAAATTGTATATGAAGGTCCAGGGCTTCGTGTAGCCCCCATACAGCGGTGCTGTGACAGGTATTTTGATGGTTTTAGGTAAATTATTCACCGAAATTGTTTCAAATTTCGTATACAGGTGCAGGTCTTTGTATAGCCCCCATATTACGGTACCTCCCGATATTCGGCATTTTGATGATTTCAGCGACATTATTCACCGGAATGGTTTCAAATTTCGTATTTAGAGTTCGTAATGGATACTACAGCCTCTGACAAGAAATTGTGTATGTAGGCTCACGTCTTTGTATAGCCCCCATATTACGGTACCTCCCGATATTCGGTATTTTGATGATTTCAGCGACATTATTCACCCGAATTGTTTTAAATTTGGTATTTGAAGTTTGTAATAAATACTACAGCCTATGACAGACAATTGTAAATGCAGGGCCAGGTTTTCGTATAGACCCCATATATCGCTACCTCCCTATATTCGGTATTTTATGATTTTTGCGACATTATTCACCGAAGTTGTTTCATATTTCGTATTTGAAGTTCCTATATGGTACTACAGCCTATGACAGAAAATTTTGTATGCAGGTCGAGGTCTTCGTATAACTCCCTTATATCTGTCCCTCCCGATATTCGGTATTTTGATGATTTTAGCTACATTATTCACCGGAATTGTTTCATATTTCGTATTTGAAATTCCTATATGGTACTACAGCCTATGACAGAAAACTATTTATGCCGGTCCAGGTCTTCGTATAGCCCCCATATATCGGTACCTCCCCTTGTGCGGTATGTTGACGATTTTAGGTACAATACTCACTTGAATTCTTTAAAATGTCGTATTTAGAGTTTTTTGTCTATGCAGGTCCAGGTCATCGTATAGCCCCCACCCACACCCTATATCGGTACCTGCCTATATTCGGTATTTTGATGATTTCAGCTACATTATTCACCGGAATTGTCGCAAATTTCGTGTTTGAAGTTCCTATATGGTACTACAGTTTATGACAGAAAATTATTTATGCAGGTCCAGGTCTTCGAATAACCCTCATTAATCGGAACTTCTCTATATTTGGCATTTTGATGATTTTTGCTACATTATTCACCGGAATTGTTTCAAATTTCATATTTCGTAATGGGTATTATAGTATGTGAAAAAAAATGTCTATGCAGGTCCAGGTCTTCATATAGATACCCTATATCGGTACCTTCCTATATTCGGTATTGTAATTATCTATTGAGTTGCACAGTGTTATTTAGACATTTTTCTTTTACTCTACAGCGCCACCTACTGCAATTGTTGATAACTAACCACTACGTTTACATATTGTTGTACCACATTGCAGGGTTGCTGTATGGAATAAATTGAGGAAACGATTTCTGTGACTATCGATTATTTAAATCGTTTTGTGATTTTGGAAATTATCGACTATTTCCAACCAACTGTTTGCGAAGGCAGGCAAGCAGACAGACGGCCAACACAACAAAACGTTAAACGTTAGCTGTGTGGATGAGAGCCGGCCAGCTAGCAAATGAGCCAATGTAGATGTGGTAGTTCGAACTGTTCAATCGTAACGATAAGAACGTAGATTTACGGCTGAATGTCGGTTAGCGGAAACGGTCAGAATAGAAGCGAAAACAAACAAATATATTCGGGCTATTGTTTTGAAACATAAACGACGCGAATAAGAATACAAAACAAATTCAATGGAAATTTAAAACCAGTATTGGTATTGAAAGAAGAAATTTGGTAAATGAAATGAGAAAAAAAAAAATAAAATAAGAAGATCCAATTGGAAGAGAATTGAAAATCGGAAAAGAAAAAAAAGGGGGAAACAAAAATTCAAAAAATTCGGCGGTCAATGGCATTGAGAGAGTTGATATGAAACACCTTTACCCAGAAAAGATGCGGTGGATCAAGTTCGAAATTAATTGTTCTTTGTTTGTTGTAGTTCCACTTTTTTTTTTTTTTTTGAAAATGTGATTAAATCATCAAATTTGTTTGTTTAAATCAAAAAAATGTGAATAAAGTTGAAAATAGTGAAAGAAATGTGAAAAAATTTCATAACCTGAAATAATCAACAGGTGGTTGGTTGCTAGGTTGTCTAATTTTAAGCGTTCTTATCAGAAAAAAATATAATAAAAAATAATGTTAATCATTTTAACTAAATGCCTACCTTTGTTTTGTGGAAAATAATAAAAATAAACAACAACGAAATAATAAAAAACAAAATATCCAAACCAAACGACACGGCGTAATTCTTTTGTGTCCAAGTATTTTAATCATTGATCGCTGCTGATAAAGAAAAGTGTTCTCTAATGTTTAATATTCTCGTTTATAATCGCTGACGTAGTTGTTGTTGTTGTTGCTGTACTTTCTCAATAAAAAGCAAAAACAACGCCGCCGGATACGTTGAAAACTTCATAATTATCGTTCAGATGCAAAGGTGACGTTTCAAATAACGCCACGCAACCCCCCTCTAACCCTCACCTGAAATACCCATACGGAATGTGTTATGAGTGATCACAACAAATATCTGTTGCTGTTGTTGTTGTCTCGTCGTCGTCGTCGCTGCGCTGCTGTTTCACCTTTTATTTTTTTCGTTTTGAATGTTG